TATCGCGATGTCAGTCGGCTGGCTGATCTGCGATCACTGCAGATCTTATAGTTGATGGGCCATGAATAAACGGTTTTCGAATGTTGCCCTTCGTTAAATGATTCCGCTTTGTTGTATTTTTTTATATGAAAAATTCTATTTTATTGGTTATAAAAATTTAACGAGTTTTTCAATTTTGACTCCTTTTTGGTATAATCGAATGATTATCTGGGTTAACGTGAATGTTATGTGAAATGGTTAACTTTATTTGAAGGTATTTCAGAGCCCTTTCAGTATAGAATCAGAATACAATAAATATTCCAAACATGTAAATAAATTAGGCACTGATATAATGAAATTTTCGGTTTAACTACTCGTATTATAATTATAAAAGAATCCATCCTGTCTCACTGACCTAAGATAAAAAAATTGCCGAATTATTTCAAGCGTCGCCGTTTTTTTATTATCTTTGGAGTTTTAATTTTACGCGTTGCTACTTCGAATCTTGCCTCGAGTGTTGTCGAGATAGACATATTGTTTACGCCGGCTAGTGCCGCACTAGTGCTAGAGGAAAATGTCGATCGTTGTATGGGACGAGGAACACTCGATCAATGACAGCCCGTCATTTCGACACCGTGCACCGGGCTTGTGTTAAATACTCTCATCGTATTATATAACAACATTTGCGTTATCATTTTGAACGATCGTCTGGTGTGTTTAGCTCGATCACACTGATTGTATATGCATCATACAAACTTAAAGTAACATATATAATAGTATGCAATTCCTATTATGTTTTAAATTGGGATTTTTATATATGGTTAGTATATGATCTTGATAATGTGATATCCTTTTTTTATAATAACGTAATTTCGTATCCGCAACATATAAGTGTTTCGCTCGTGTTGTAACAGAATTATTATGTAACTAGCTTTTGCCCGCGAATTCGTCCGCGAGGTAAAGTCACTTTGAGCAGCTTTCTAACGAATATATATTAATTATATCGTGTTAAATACCTGAAATAAAGTTTCATCTCTTATTTTATCCACTTAGGGGAGGAATTTATCAAAATCCTTTCTTAGGAGATGCCTACATCATAGTAGCTTTTTGCATGCAAAGTCTCAGCCCGATCGGTTTAATATTGACAAAGTTTCATACAAACTTTTATTCCCTATTTTATCCCCCTTGGGGGTAGAATTGATCAAAATCCTTTATTAGCGGATGCCTACTTCATAACATCTACCTGCATGCCAAATTTCAGCCCGATCTGTTCATCACCTTTCAGTTATATATATTTAGAAATATATTAGCCGGGCACATGTGACAAACAGATTTGCAATGAATGAGTGTTTATTTTACTAGCACGCGCTCACTCGAGCGGTTTTAGTGTCGGCACACGCAGCAGTTAAGCAGATAGTTAGTCCTCCACAGAACAGCTTGTACCGTCTATAAGTCAACGTGGAGACGCCTGCCGGTGCCATAACAGTAAATCTAAGGAGGCCCGGACTTACTCTCCTTGTAGCCGACCAGCCATTCGTTCGCATTTAATTATCGCGCACCGAGATTAGTTCACTTGTGCCAACTTATATGGCCACTTCTCACTATCGTACTCCGCGATATTACTCTCAATTTCATCAGACACAATACAGGCCCGGTTGTTATAGATTGTGTTTAGGAACGTAGCATATTGAACATGAGATAGGTTTCTTTTATTATTTAAGGGTTGCAAGTAATTATTAAAAGAAAACTATTTCAAGTACAGATTCTCTCTTGATTATAAATAATGATTCAAGTCTAACGTTATTGCTCGAGCTGTAATACGGTTGGGAGGCAGAATTGGAGTAAAGCTTTGCCCGGCCTATAATGAATTTGTTCAGGACGATTTCAAAATAATACAGTAGGTATTTTTTTGAAGTTAGTACTTCTTCCAAAAATAGGTACATCAATTTTATATATTGTATAAATAAATAATACTAGTTAAAAACGCTTTTCTGAAAACCTCGTCTAAATCGATTCAGCCAAACGCGAGATAATCACGGACAATACATACAACACGTGTCAAAGCGCGAAACTCCATTTTTTTGTTGGTTAATATATATAAGTAAATAAGTCTGTTAATATCATGCTGAAAAACCGCATCAAAATCGGTTTAGCCAAACGCAAGATAATCGTGCACAAACATGCATACCAGTCTAACTGAGAATCTCCGTTTTTTGAAGTCGGTTTGGTCATTATCTTATTTAGATGTACGAGTAACTGGGACATGAATGATGTGATGCACTTGATGAAGTTTAACACCGTAAACTGAACGAAGTTTGAATACTGGTTCATATAATGAAGAAACTTATCTGTCGTTGCTAAAGTAACAATATCTTGGGAAATTGAAACTTCTGTAATACGTCAAAAGGTTAAAAAAATACCTGATTTTGACTTTGACCTATCGTGTCTTAAGCAATATATCACCGTAATGATGGCCGACCTTCATAACAAGATGGCACGAAAAGAATGTTAAAATTTATTATATTTAATTAATTTTACGTTCACAGTTTTTTCGCTTACTGGAGTTGTATAAAAACGATAACGATGTGCTTTTTTTGGGGCAGTAGTGTAATAACTTAATGGTAGTTTCCGGTGAGAACAAACCAAAGATTTACTCAGTGTATCAACTTGACGGAAGTTTGACAAATAAGGTCTACAACGTTTCTTTCAACTGAATTATTAAAAAAAAAAACCAAATAATATTGATTAACTATATAACATTTCGTTGTTGAAAGCTAAACACTGTGTATAGTATTAATTCGCTTATTCAGTCGTCGATCGCTGCCTCATCATTTCCCATTCCGCTGACACTCGAGTTATTTGACTTCGTTAATTTGTTCTACTTCGTCTTTCTTTTTTCCTGGGCATTTGACGAGAAAATGTCTTTAATTTCTTTTAATATTCCGTTCATTGCACGCTTCAACGATTTATTGGTGTTAATTAAGGCGTGCCGTTTATACAGATTATGTTTATCTTTCGTTTAAGTGCTGAGGATTAGTATTTATTAGCAGGGTTCCGTAATCAATAGAATATTTATTGTATCTAAAAAGTGGTAAAAATAAACACAATACAATAAGAATGCAAAATTGTTCAAATCATATTTTTGGTGTTGATATTTATGTTAAAGAAAAATTCTATAAATAAATCTCCAGTTTTACTCAGAACTTTTACGATAATCGGAAGTGTTTACGAATAATAAATATAATAATATGTCAATAATTGAAATATACAATACGCCATCTTCTGTCCCTATTTATGTCAATAACGGGTGCGTTGATTTCATATTTTTTGCATTTTCATTTGGCCTGCAATAGTAGATACTAAGGGAGGTAGGGACGTGAGAAAGACTATTTTTGACCATTGCATACTTACTTAGATGAAGTTGTTTGTTGTTTAAAACAGGTAGCAAATATAAATTACCTACGGAACCTTTCACGGTTATCACTGCGGGTGGCCCGACACGCACATGCCCGGTTTCCCCATTTACGACAATAACGATGTGCGAACATTAATATGTTTATTGGAATTATTATCATTGTTTTTCTTTGGTTTTAAGAGAAATAGGATTTCCAACAATCCGTAAAGGTTATCACTCAGATAATGTAAGGAAGTTGTTATTAAAAGAAAGAATATACCTATATTCAGAAACCAAATTGTAATTAGTGATTATTTTATCTTTATATGATTTTTAATAATGAAGTTATAGTGTTATAATAACATATATGCGAATGTACACTGCTCGTACACGAGCCAAAATCACTTGTATATATACTTATATTATTAATATTATTATTATATTCCGATTATTGCAAGTGCTACACAATTCTCTCTAATAGAAAGCTATTCACATAAAAATATATATGAATTCTTTTTTCTTATAATAAGGGTATAATAACACAAATGAAAAGAATGGTGAATTTCAGGGATACCTTGATTTTTTTCTACGGAGAAAACTTTACAAATTCACGTTTTAGCATTATTTTTGTACACACGTCAGATTACCGCAATATGTCAAAATTCCGTAACTGATTTTGTATGAGAAATTCGTCAATTTTATATAACTTGACGTGCTTGCTGTTGACTATACATACTGTATACAAGCTAAATCGTGCAGTTGCAGATGTATCTATGTCATGCGATGACGAAACCAGACACGGTGCCCGCATACGAACAAAATATATAATTTTTTGTTACACGATACAGTTTCAAAGTGAAAATGATTTCGTAGTTTTACCTTGATAACTATCGACAAATTAAATTTAAATTAAAAAAAATCAAAGTCTGCTTTAAATATTTATGTTTCCTGTGCAAATTAATGTTTTTCACGATAAGATAGGTAATTCAAAAATCAAAATCAAAATCATTTATTCAGTCTAGGCTATTACAAGCACTTGTGAAAGTCGAGAGCTACGCCATATTGAATCGTCGAACCTATAGTCGATATGCTACAAGCCTATTTCTGATAGTTTTAATTATCGTCAGTTATTTCTTAATCAAAATAGATTTAATTGAAAAGAGACTATAAAGACACATTAAAGACGAATTTGCGAAATCATATTTAAAAAAGTGACTTACTTTGCTTTAGATTAAAAAAAAAGAGTTTAATCCAGCTCAATATTGTAAGTTAGACGTGCTATGTTAAAATTGACAAATCTCTACCTATTATGGTTAAAAAGATTCAACCTTGTGTCAGAGAGACAGGCAAGGCAGCGTAGGAATTTTATTATTACACATCTTCAGGTACAGACCTCTAAAACTTTATTCAGAGAGACTTTGACAGTTATTAATATAAGTATAAAGAAATAATGTGAAAGTATCCCTTTTAAATTGTATAAATTAGTTTTTGTATTGTATAATAAACATAATGTTTAAAGAGATTCACTGCTACCGTTAATTATTTGTAAACTTAAGCGGAATCTTATCAACAACAAGGTACTAATCAGTGAATAGGAACGTGGCGCGTGTCACCAGCGCTTCGCTCTGTGATATAATTTATCAAACAGACTGTGTTAAGTCTTCACACTGCTAGCACGCGTTTTTAATTCTTTTCTAAAATAAATTATATAGTAAAACATTGTTCGGTCCAAAATTTTTCGGTGAATTATTACGATAAGTGAAATAGTGTTGCGTTCAAAATGCGTAAGCTTATCCGTTTAGGGACAGCGAGTTTGGCGGCTTTTGCAGTTTTTATGACCCTGATGATGATTGCTGAGCAGTCTAGTGGGGGGTACCGCGGTCACCCGGCAGATCGTAGGGCTCGCGCGGTGCTGTCAGCTGACTTACAAGATAACGAATTGAATGATATCAAATCATTGCCGCTCGATCAGATTACGGATAGTAATAATAGACGTCATCATATAATTGAGGTATGGGTCCTAAACGCTTAAAAGATGTATAATTTTTAAATTTTTTAAGCATTTCACTTTTGTAATGATGAATGGGTAAAAAAAGTAAATTCTCTTTAGTCCATTAATCAGATAATATGAAAAATTGTAAATTTTTTGCTTCAATTTAACAAGAAATGGTTTAGATAATAGGCATTAAAGTTAAGAAGTGGGGGTTTGCTACGTCATGACTATGTTGGAAATGTACGAAAGTGTGACGTCATGCGACATTTCAACTCAATGTTTCAACGAAATTTATTGATTACTCGGAAACTAAAAAATAAGCGTTTAATATTCTTTAATAATTTACCTGACGCACAGACAAATAGAAATTAGTTACCCTATTGCATTGTAGGTCGTAAAATGCGTGTGGAAAATCCAAATATTAACGTGTGAATAAATAATAAGATTTGTAACTTGTACACTGACATTTTGAAATAAAACGGTTATTCAATAGACAAAAACTCTCAATCACCTGTTGTAACTTTGACAGAATGTATAAAATATAAATCGTTTTTAAAAGCAGCTGGCGTTAACAAATCGTAAGTAAATATTTCACCCTGACTCATTCCGCTCAGAGTGTAATTGGTAAAGTGTTCAGTTTTTCCAAGTCATTGGTGATTTACTCGCCAAGTTCTTGGAGCCTAATAATAATTAATGGCCGTGGCGAAAGTCCGATATCCTTTCATTAGTGTCCCGTCTCAGCGACCGGGCCAGATTAAAACTTGCCCGTCGAAGACTGCGGGCGCACTTTTAAATATACTCCGCATAGAACGCCTTTGAAATGTGAACGTGGCCACTGCTCTATAAAATATTTTGTTTGAACCATGTAAAAAGAGTCGAGTTTTCCACCGAATGAGGAACTGGTTTGTGGTTTAATAAGGTTTCCTTTTAGAGTATGTTGTAATAGTTTTACTGTGCTCCTTATGGACTTTTTTAATGCACCTTGAAACGATGAAATATTTTTGTACCCTTTGTAATAAAGATACATATGTAACATTGACTGTAATACAAAAAAAATACCGTCATTAGCAGGGTAGTAACAAAATACTTCAGTCGCGTGGTATTGGTAGCAATTTTTCTTAATAACAATAAGAATGCGAGCGTTACTAAAAGTGATACTTTTCAATTTTTTTAATGTTCTTTTTATGGTACAATTTTAAATCGTCATCGTCGTTCCATAATTCCTTACCTTTAAGAGATAAAAGGTGAATGGGCAATTTACTATAAGAATTAGGCTATTTTTGCGTTACCGTGTACCTTGTTGAAAGTAACAATAAACGATTGATAATTATTTCTAGAATTTGTAGAAAAATAATAATTTCAAAATTATGCGGAATTTTGAGAATATCTGAATATTTTAACGAGCATTTTGAGGTTATGCTGTTATAATATCTCACTAACATACGTAGGTTCAACTATAGAGCAATAAAATTAATCATAAATAAATAGATGTACCTTTAAACGCCACGCAATTATTAAATAGTTTTACGTAGGATTAATCATAATTTAAAAGAATTTTTTTGTATAAATAAATGTGTAGTGCGCAATTTTGGCCGACTTCTGCCCGTTCTCCTTTCTGGTTCTGACAGATTTTACCGAAATTCTACTAGATCTGACAGTTATTCTCTTCTCTTATAGATGATGCGACACGCATGGAACAACTACAAGCTGTACGCATGGGGCAAAAATGAATTGAAGCCGATATCGAAACGAGCACATTTGTCCAGTGTATTCGGAAGTGGTAACCTCGGAGTCACCATAGTCGACGGACTAGACACACTGTACCTGATGGGGCTGCACGACGAGTTTCGCGAGGGACGCGACTGGATCGCCGAAGAACTTCACATAGAAGAAAGTGTAAGGAACCCAATTATATTTACTAAAGTTTTAAGAATTTAAATGACATTTCAGAATGAAATGAACTCGAGGATTAACACAAAAGCTCTAGCTTTATTGAGATTTTGAGAAATAAATACAGAAACTACGGTTGCATTAAGCTTCATCAAACGTGTAATTCAAAAAAGTATCTAGCTTTAAATTCACGGTACAAGGTATCAAGGTACAGTTTTATGTATCAGTATAAACTGTTTCAACGCTGCATTATCTAAGCAAAAAAATGCGAAACAATAGCCTCCCTCTACTCGAGGTAATACAATCCTTTAGACAAGAAGACTTCTCGTTGCCTTTAGATGCGCTTTATACGAGTTCAGTTGGAAGAATTTATTTTCTCTCTCATCGAGTAAAGAAATACACAATTTTGTTTCTTTCTAAAATAGCTACATGATCTATTCAACAATTTACAATCACGTTCGTAGGTCTCGCCCCGCTCTACTTAAGGTAATCTAGTCGAAAAGGTTGAAGATGAGTTTTTAAATGCGCTTGCAGACGTAGTGGTGAAAGCCGTTTTATTTTTCTCTTTCGATGGAAGCATTGTTTTATAAGTCTTAAAAAGTTTAGATATGTCTTCAACGATATTTTATTAGATGTTTGATCATTATCTGTTAAAATTTAATATAATTTGCCTTACTAGTAGAGTAAGCCGTTTCTTCAGTAAGAAGTAATCCAGTTATAAAAGTCGAATAGCCAAGAAATAGGTACTATTAATACGAAAGTTTTGAATAATTCATTTTCCCTTTTTTCCTAGAGCTCTAATTTTGATCACTCATTAAAATCACCGTAATCGACTTTAGTTACGGTCGACTTTTAGGTTACATGATAAGATCTTTCTGTTTCGGTTGTTGTGAATCGGTCGTTTTAGCACTACTATGTATAATCTAAGATATTATTTTTTTGTGTTTCGGGCAAATCGAAATAGAATCTAATCAGTTTTACCATAGAAAAGGAATAAAGTTCCAAAACAAATGTAATATAAGTAAGGTTAGTATTACTTCGATGAATCTCTTGAGTTCCTATTTAAAATTGAAGATTGGCAAAAATAACAAACATTAAATTTAAGTTTAGTCTGACCAGTGTTTGTAGGAAATAACCATCACAAGAGGAGAATGTTTCATAAATAGTCCTTTTGAGCTTTTATATGTATTTTTTACATTTAAGCTTAGACGAATTTGTGATTCCTTTGCTTATGTTTTAGTTTACTAGTTTTTCTGTTACAAAAACTACATCTACAAAAAAACTGAACGAGTGTAATATAAAATTGGTATAATCAGTATAGGATAGGACCTCGCTTTACCTGAGGTAATCTAATCCTAAAAGGACGCCATAGCTAACCTTGTCACCGAGCTGTCTGCCTGCTAGTGAAATGACACGAAGGCCACACCTGGGTCGTTGACATGATATTGTAAGTAAAGCGCATTTTGTAACGAGAGAATTTACAGTTTTAAACTACCGTGTCTAAAGAAGTGGAATGCCGTTAATATTTTCTATCATTGTTTACGACCACATAGTAATATTATTTTAAATTGCAACCGTTTATTTATTACAGATAAGATAAAACCGAATATGTTTTTGAGGGTGAATTTGAGTTAATTACTCTACGTATGTATCGTAATTGTAACACCAAAACGAACAATACTCGTATTTAAATGCCGCATGCAAGTTTTTGTTGATCTCTGTAATTAATTAATCATTTTTTAAAAAGATTTTTATGAAAAAATAGCCACTGCTCTTAGTCTAGCGAGTGATCGGCCACTACCATCGGTTTTGCGTGTGTAGCATACCCTTGTAAATCAAGCTGCAATGGCACGTGGCATAAAAATCTGCATCACATGCCGCACCGCAAGAATATGCGGATAGTTCCCAAATTCCTGTGGTTTTCTTTCTGCACACAATTGCTTCGCATCACAACTTTTTATGTTACGAATTTGTTTCGCGCTGATTGGCAGTTTTGAGTATGAGCCCATATTTAAAAAACGAGAACTTCTTCTTGCTTGTCGTCACTTGATCGGCCTGGCCTTTATGTTACAAATAGGCGTTTCAAAGCAATGTCATAAATATGCGAAATTCATATTAAGAGAAGATAAATTAAAAAAAAAATACAATAATCTGTTTCGTATCGCCTCCAAACATGGCCGCGGTGACCGAGACCTCTGCCAATTGGGTCATGTATGGTGTTTATCTGGCGATGTGCTAACAGGCGGCGCCCTCTAACCTGTTGTTAGCATCCGATGGAAGTAGGCCGAGACACAATTGTTGCGTATACCTGATAAGGAAATCTAAATTTCCTAATATGTACGGCCAACGATTCATGATAAAATAATACACAATATATATACCGATGGCAATGAAAGAAGACTGAACTTTAACAATGTCGGGCACTGGCTATTTCTAATCATTGAATTTTTGCTAATAACAATAATTTTCATTTAATTTTTATTGTTGAATTACTTGTTTTCAAATTAAGTCATTTTCGTTAAAAAATCTGGTAACGTAGTAGTAATACGAGGGCGGGATGATAAATAGCTAGTCCAACCCATATTTTGTATAATAACGATATAAAATCTCCGTATAAATAGCTAGTCCAACCCATATTTTGTATAATAACGATATAAAATCGTAAATGTCATTACTCTTATTAGAGCTGGTGAGTTTCTTGCTCGTTCTTCTTATCAGCTAAAAGACGTCCTGAACGAGTGGTAGGGAAAAAATGTTGGACGATTCAAAAGTACTTTTAAGAAGTCTATTTGAATAAAGATTATTTTGACTTTGACCTTAGTATTTTACTCATTGGTTCATTAGCTGCCAGTGTTCCAAATTTCAAATCGATCGTATAGTTTTTCTTTTAAATATTAACATTTCAAAAGCATTCTTTTGTTTTTTCTGCAAAATGGATAAAATTGAGCTACGAGCTGTGATAAAGTTTTTGCATTTAAAAGGTTTAAAAGGTGGAGAATTTTTTTCGGAGATGAAGGATGTTTTGGGAGAAAATGCTCCTTCATATGCGACCATAAAAAAATGGGTGGCTGAATTTAAACGTGGCCGTACCAGCACCCAAGATGAACATCGTCCAGGACGTCCAAAAAGTGCCACTACTCCAGAAATTGTGATCAAAATTCATGATGCAGTTTTAGCTGACCGAAGATTGAAACTTTCCGAGATAGCTGATACTGTAGGCATCTCTAAAGAACGGGCGCATTACATTTTGACTCAAGAATTATGTATGAAAAAATTATTCCGCAAGGTGGGTGCCGCGATTGCTTACAGTTGACCAAAAACGCGTTCTCACAAGAATGTTTGGACCGCTTTAAGAGCAATACAACTGATTGTCTGCGACGGTTTGTTACTACAGACGAGACTTGGGTTCACCACTATATACCTGAATCAAAAATTCAGTCTAAACAATGGACGGAAAAAGGATCCCCGGCTCCAAAGAAAGCAAAAGCCGTGAAATCAGCGGGGAAAGTCATGGCGTCAGTATTTTGGGATTCGAAGGGTATATTGATGATTGATTACCTTCCAAAAGGACAAAACATAAATGGCGAATATAATGCTGATCTACTGGATAAATTAAAAATGTGTATTCGTGAAAAAAGACCCGGCCTGGCTAAAAAAAATAATCTTTCATCAGAATAATGCGCGCGTTCACACGTGCATCACTGCGATGGCGAAATTCAAAGAATTAAATTATGATTTGCTACCACACCCAGCTTATTCTCCTGATCTGACTTCCATCTATTATTATCCCTAAGCTCAAATTTTTTTTAGGTGGGCAAAGATTTGAAAATAATAGCGAGGTGATGTCTGCCGTGGACAGTTATTTTGAAGGGCTTGAAGAAAACCACTTCAGGGATGGCATCAAGGCTTTAGAGCATAGATGGATGAAGTGCATAGCGCTTCAAGGAGACTATGTCGAAAAATAAATATACTTTTAACACACTAATTCAATGCTATTTGTCATCCCGCTCTCGTAGTACCGTCATGGTATCCCAGCAGCAGAAGCGGCACGCGAAACCAACAACATTAACGGAACAAATACCTTACAAACCCGTTATTGGTTTATCCGCCTCCATCATGAAATTTCGACCTGAAGGATGAACGTCACGATCGAAGCAGCAAATGCGGATGAAGCAAAAAATATCTATAAACACGATACTACTAATAGTATCCCTACCTTGCGGCTCTACCGGATTGATCTGTCAAAATGAAGTCCTCATAATCTGTCAGGCTGACAGACTGGGCGAAACTGTTAACAGACCAATCAGGATTGATCAGACAAACTAAATGATAATAATGCCCGTTTAATAAATGATAATATTAATATTAAGAATAGATGGCAACATTTGTCTATGATTTTGCATACTCAGTTCTTCTTCTTTTTTTAATGTATGGCCTATTTGCGTTTACACAATTCCGCCAATGTCACGTTAGCGGCCTTTACACTTAAAGAGACAGTAAATAAAATATATGTTTTGAGGTAATAAAACAAAAAAATATTAGGTATACCTATATCTTTTATTGACACGAGCACCCAAGTCGTTATTGTCCATATATGAAAATTGTGAAATTTAACAAAAACATAATTCATATCATAATTCTAATATATAAACTCCTTGACACATCCGTCATGACCAAAGAGTAAATGTATATGTCACATTACGCAAATGCCCAGCGCTAGGCGCCGCACAATGTATGTCCTAATTTTAAGCTTGCATAAAGTCGTTATGTGGCTCCTTGTCATTGGTGAAACGCGTTTTTACCTTAGACAATGCCCAAATATTTAGGTGTCAGATTTGGGCGACTCCAAGTTTAGTAAAAACTTATATGTCTTATAACACCTTACAGAATCTATATTCTAAAGTAAAAGTACTACTACATACTTTAAAGAAAAGGTTGTTTATATTGTTCAATAAAAATAACGATTGGCAACATATTGTGCAAGTCCTAGTGATCCAATACCTACACACAACCTTCTCCGTTCTGCCGTGGGTAAAAATTCAAGATATATTTTTATTGAATGATTCTCGGAATAATCTTGTTTCTGCGTGTCATTATAAATATTATCAGTAATAAAGTAGTCCTCTTCACCGAAGAGATAACGTCAACTTTTATTATTATTTTTTATCAATATAGAATTTTAATGAATCTCGTGAACAATAGAAGCAATGTAAGTTGTTCGAACACAATACACATGTTATTATGAAGGAAAATAAACTGTTTATACCATAACAATAGTGATGAAAATCTTATTATCCTTATTACCTATATACTAAAACAATATGATGGTCATTTTATAGAGCACATAATTGTTTTATGGGTTGGATAAACTAATCTTTTAGGGATTAGAAATTAACGCAATTCATTGCTTTAGTGGTTTAACTGATGGAAGCAGTATATTTTGATGGAGTTTATCAAAATAGACTGCTTACATCATAATCAACGCAATACACATTTAGTATAATAAGATCACTTTAAATACAGAGGGCAATGGACCGTGTTGTTATGCTGACTTCCGTAGTCCATTAGCAACAGGATTCCAAGATAATCATGAACTTACAACGGGTTGGTTATCTACCAGAAAACGATGTCTTAACTAATATTAACATACGAAAACCATGTTATATCGAATGTTTAGGTTAATTTCATGGACGTGGGATTTCGAAATTTCATAAAATCTGTTAAACCTATAAGACTGAACATAAAAACGAAGAAAAACGAGAGTAAATCTATTAATTGGCCTGTTATTAAAACTGATGGGAACAGATGATGGCGTATCACGTAAAATAGAGCATCTAATCTTTTTCAATTAACAATTACTAGCAAACCATTATTACAATTATTGTAAAATTCTTCAATCCTGGGACAAGTAATTTTTTGAAGCAGTATATATTTATAAATAGCATTGCGAATACAAAATTCATAAAATGTGTGATATTAATTACAGTTAAAGTTTAATTACAGTTTTTGTAGCATATTAATTACAGTTTATTTGGACTGTATTTCGCTGTTATAAATCAATTGAATAATAGACCAAAAATCGAGAACATTTAATGGGTCATCGCAACTTTGTAAAAGCCATTAAATTAAATTAAATCTTATAGTGAACAAAAAATTGACAATGACAGTAAGAGTATTAAGAAATAGCTTTTAATTAATTTTACAAGTGCCACTCTTAAGTGTTAATTACCCCACTGGTTATTATCTGAGCGTCGAAAATGAGCCTTCCTCGCTTCAGCGATTGCGCAGTGAAAGTGGCAACGTGATAGTTAAGGTGGGGCGTAAAGGCAAAAGAGGTTGACAAGTTGCGCATAAAAAACTATTTTTTTATTTTATTAATTACTCGCAAACCATTACGATTTTTGGGAAAGTTCTCGATAAAGCTCTCGGCTACAAATTTACACTTAACAAAACTCGAAGTGACATATTTAATGTTTTATTTTAAAAAAATTGTATAATTAAGAGAAGAAACGATAAAAAATGCGTATTCTTAGGGGTGACTTTTTAAATTTTCTGTATCGATCGATCTTATAAATTCATATTTTGGTATTTTCACTGTCCTTAAGATATGCTGTATTTTTCAAATTTTTAATATAATATAATATTCAGATAATATTTCTTTCTACAAAATATCATTTGTGTACACTCTTAACTCTTTAATTTTAACGTATTCTATGAACATTACTGTGTTTTTATTTATTTCCATGTTCAAATTATGCATTCAAGTAATGTTATAGGAGTGGTAATGAAGATTTAATTTTACTTTTATTAGCGTTCTGTTGAATATTTATGAAATTCATACGCTTATTTTAGTTTGTTATTGTTTACTAATGAGTATGTTTGCGTTTTGTTTAATTGATAGTACTAAGTGAATTAAGTTCTTTTTACGGGCGTGCTTGTATATATAAAATTTAAAAGTAACTCTGTGTCATTTTTTTACGCTTATTTACATTTTCACTTTAGAATAAAAACGGTATGAGGCCCTGGCAAAGAAGTACATATATGTGATTTTAAATACTGAAAGTTATTTTTCAAAGGGTTGAATAAACCGGTCAATTGCGAGTCAGACTCTCGCACCGGGGGTTCCGTAGAATTAATTTTGTTATGTTACAAACATTTACAAAGCTAGTTTTCTATAACAAAATTTAGTTTCTTTTATAATTTAGACAAATTTGGTTCTGAGTTAGTAAAGTTCGGTTCGAAGTGGGAAAATTTTTAATAACTTATTCTTTAATATTCTTTAATAACTTTTTTTATAGTATTTGTCAAATGAAAGTTTTTGAAAATGTACTATTACTATATGTTATGGCTACTGCTTATATCGTTGTCAAACGATTGACTTCATTATTTTAATAAATATTTATTAAATCTCGGTGAAAAATTGGTTACTAGAAACACAAATTTACTGCTCCTTCCATTTTTCTTTCTATATGTACCTTTTTGTACCATTATTTAAAAGCTATAGTCCCAACACAAGGGAGGAGATTTCCTTACTTGCGACTAATACAATTGGCTAAGAATTCTGTTGTCGTTTTTCTGCACTAGACTCGTGAATTCGCGACTGGGATAAAATTCTTAATTTTGATAATTTATTGGCGCCCTCCGAAGCTATTATCCACTTATACAATAAAAGCATTTAATGTTAATAAATAAATATTGCAGTTTGTGATTTTTGTGTGGAAGACTATTATCACGTATATCCATATTATTTATTATCCGTTATGGTAAGTGCATATTAAAGGAAAAAGTGAGACGAAACCAGCAAGTTGGTTGCATAAGTTTAGGGCGTTTTAGGGGAGACCGAGGGCAAACAATTAATAAAACAAAGTGAATTAAGATAATCCTGATTTCCCGTTACTTAAAAACCTTTAGCGGTTGAAATAATCAAATGCTCTCCAGGCAAGCAGCTGTTTTTAAATTTCGTGCAATCAGTGTTGTTTCAACTCACCTTCGTTTTGAAATACCTTAACGCATTGAAGTTGTAACCGTTGTTATTACGATCAGGCAAAGACTCGTGCTACGAGTGTAAAGCTTTGTACTCTTGATTGTACCTACAATTCATATTTTTCATATCCTCCATAGTATTAACTTGCTCCCCCTGGACCATGAGTGGCGACGCCCTTGAATCCATATATATAGGATATCTTCACCGGTAACCTAACGGGAAAGACAGAGATGACTGACTGCCAAAAAGCAAGGCCCCGCCCTGTAGGGCGGTAAGGAACCCTTCTTTAATATTTTGTCTTTTCTGTAATGCGGGCGCCAGACATATCAACAAAGTTTGAGTAAACATTAAATACTGCCAGACTTACTTTCAAATGGTTTGTTCGACGATTTATTAGAAGTCTATCATTTGTTGTTTAGAAGATTTTTTCGGATATATCGATATCGATGATTCTGTTTGAAGAAGTTACAAAAATTTTATAACAACATCATTACTCCACTCCATTATTATCACAAAAAATACAACACAATATAACTGCTCACGCTTTGTATAACATTGCAACAAGTCACACAGGACACAGAAACTTTGAAGTTCTCTGATGTATGCCCAAAAACTATGACTATGACACATTATGACTAACTATAAATGTGTATTCAAGTTTTGCACACTTTGTTGGTATTTGCGTATTTAAACACATATCTGGCACAGGTTTAATAGTTTTGTAATACCATAAATTTATTTCGTATTTTCTAGCACTGGGATCTATCTGTGTTCGAGACGACAATTCGTTTCGTGGGCGGATTGCTGTCCTGTTACGCTCTGACTGGTGACACGATGTTCAGAGACAAGGCGGCCGAGGTAGCGGACGCTCTGCTGCCTGCCTTTGAATCACCCACTGGTCTGCCATACGCCCTTATCAATCCCTCCACGAAGGTATGTAACTATAAACACATTACAGTAAAAGTATAATAAATTATAGAGGAAACCTATTAATATTATAAATAGTAAACATGTTTGTTTTTTTATTGACATTGTAACGCATCATTATACTACAATTTTTTATAGAAAAGTTGAAGGCTTGAGAGTGGCCTTTGCTAATTTGTTAACCGACTTCAAAAAAAGAAGAATTAATTCGAGGTGTAGGTATATATGCAATTTCGTTGAAATGGCGTAATATTATTGTGTGCAAAATTTTACGAATGTATGTATGTTTTTTGTCCACGGATATCTCGCAAACTAGTCGTCGGATTGCAATGGTTTTTTATTTATTTAATTGCTTAACTTTCAATTTATAGAATACTACAATTTTTATCAAAATCGTTGCAGAAGTTTTCAAGATATAAACTATTAAAGCTTTACCAATTTCAAAAAGAGGTTATTGAACTGTACGTTTTTAACCGACCTTAAAGAAATGAGTTTATATAAGTTTGCCTTGTGTGTTCACAGAACACGGAAAAGAGGTGTTGGAATATTCGTATATTATGTCAGTCTATGATAATATTTCGAAACACGTCCAGGTATTTTCCATAAATTGGACATCGGATTGAAATGATTCTCTTGTTGCTTGATTAAGTTAATAAATCTAGTGAACCTTTAGAGAACAGTATAAGAGAAAACATTCTAAATGACTTAAGAAATGAACTACTACCAGAATAGTAGGTCAGGTTAGAACTTCGACACTTATAAAAACGCATCGGCGCTAAAAATTAATTGCTATCAGAATAGTAGGTTAAATTAGGTTAAAACAGCGACTCTAACAGAAAAGATTTATCCAGTAAATATACGTGTGTTCAAATACAGATGACAGTTCTTATAAGTTAGAAGTAATAAAAAAAAATTAAGCCGACTTTAAAAATATCCTAATAAAGAGAAACAATTGAAAAGTGAGAAACAATACCACAAAATAAAATAAAAAAAACGAAACAAAAAATGGATACATCAACAATGTTCGGTCGGCGCAATTTATTTATAAAGAAAAATATCATGTATGGTGACACATTTTCTGATAGTACTTCTTACTAATGACTAGCACCGACATCAAAAAATTTTTGGTCCACTTTTTTGTTTCGATTTTATTTAAGACTAGCTTTCCCTCAGTGGCTTCGCTCGCCTGGTCCCTTGGGAACTGTTTATTGAGATATCGAATCATATTCTGACACGAATATAATTAACTACAATGATAAATTGAATTTAGGTTGTGGTCATAGTGACTTCATAATGGCTTACTCTTAAAGGATATAAAACAAAATTAAATTCCGGCAAAAATACAAAAAAAAATTACAAATCATTTAATTTTTCATTTTATTTAATCATATTTCCAATATTTATTATTATAATAATATAATACAATTCAATTCATGTATATATTCTATTAATATATTCCATATAATATATATCTATAATTTATAATATATTCTATAAATCTGCTTTTGTGCTGCTTATAGGTGTGACGTACGAAATGCATAATTTATTTGCCTATCGTTTTACTACTTTCATATACTGTGCCATTTGCGTACATACTTAGTCTGTACTGTGTGGCATCCAAAAGGAAAGGGTTTAGTTGCAAATCAGCGTCAGGGTGCTGAACTGGATGCCTTTTTGACACTGGCATGGAACACAATTTGTTTTTCCTTTCTTTTGTATGTTTGTTTTTATTCTATTATGTCCTATATCTGTGTTGAATAATTGATTTTAATTGTAAACAATGGTTACTATGGCAACGTTTTAATTCCCTATATAAACTTTCACTTCTATTTACATCCCTTTATGTGATGTTTTTCGGGATAAAATATAGCCTATGTTCATCCTTAACCATCCTTAAGGAAGGCCTGAGCCCCTGCAGTGGGGACGTAAAAGGGCTGATGATGATGATGTATGATGATGTTCATCGCATATTATGTAGCTTCCCGTAGGTGAAAGAATTTTTAAAACCGGTTTCATTTTATTACCGATACTGACGCTGATAAAATTTTCTCACTTTCCCATTTATAATATTATTTATTTTTGTACATATATATGTACATCTATAATTACAAATGCTGTTCAATATGTTCCAATGGTATACTTGAATTGATAGACTCGTAGTCTTATTTGAACGCTGAGTTTCTTGACTACCTATACTTATGGTGTCTGAAACTAATGTTAAGACAAACATGAAACTTACAGGTGAACTATGTTCGAGCGAGATCTAACACGTTAGTGCGACAAAGATTGGAACTATTGTGAGTTCCTCACGGCTTAACTAAGTTAATACCATTGTAATCACATCGGAACCACAAGAGGAGAGTATATGGAGTTTTCTTCACGTGGTGGACTGTTTACAAACCAAATGACATATTTATAAAGTTGATAAGAGTTGAATTGATATCAAAAGTTGTCCTGGAAATTCATTAAAGCTATCGATTTTCTTCAATATTGATATTATCGATACAGAAATTAGGCGATCTTGATGATTTTTTTATTCAGTAGAATTGAAGTAGGCCTAGCACTGATATCGTTCTTCAACAATAGTAGCTTTAGTTTTATTCTCAAAATCGATAGTAGAGGAGGCCGGGCTGAAAGTTCCCGGGGTGAGTTGTTCCGACAATTATAAGTTTTTAAAGGAAAGAGGTAGTAACACATGTGAAGTGCATCTTTTAAGCATCAGATGACCTGCTGCGTTGGCGACCCTCTTAGTGGCTCCAACAACGGCGGATGAACGGCTGTGTGTACCTTGCTATTAGAACACCATGGGAGTAATTTTTTTCGTATATAAACTTTTTGATCTATTTTTATTTATTATTGACCGATTTATGTGTAACTTTCCTATTTGAGAGTGGTATTAGTTAGGTATCTTATTGTCTGAAGGTTTTTTCAATTGATTTCGTTAATTTGCTATTATGACAATTTTTATACAAAAACTTAAATTGGGGCTACAAGTTCCCTCCTAAAAGGGCTGGTGGTTCCCCGGAACAACTCATCCCAATTGACCTTCAAATTCATCATATTTTAAGACACTTTGTCTATTTTGTTAGGATGGTACCTACAAACGAAAAACTGAGAGAGGAAACCTCCAAATCTTTATTGCACTAAGCTGTCATACAAGATGGAAGAAAAAATTAAAATGGTCGCCAGAGAACTAGAAATTTGCCAGACGTAACATCGATTTGTTAAATCGTTAAATTTGTTAAATCGATGTGATGATTTCATTGTAATTCTACTAAAATAAATATAATTTTATCGCCTCGATTAAAATTATTTTTATTTAATATTACATCGATTACAGTATTAAATGAAAATAATATGAACGTTAGAAGTTTGGTGTTGTGATTTGATTAGAATAATCGGAACTTTCAGTTCAGCCCCGTCCTCCTTTATTTTCAAATGCGTGTGTTTCGATATGATTGTCAAAAGATGCTAACGCTACTATTGCCTTAATAATTCATCTTGAATCCTTTTGTAATTTAAAAAGGAACGTATTTGACGTGTGTGTTCGATGGAATTGTGTTGTTTCAAATCGCAGTTATCTACGAAATCGTATCCATAAACGTGCATATTATTGTTATCTTAACACAATCTGTTCATGTTACCTGAAACAGAAATAACATTAAAGTATGTATTTTAATTTTATATAATAACTAGCTGTTTTCGCGTGACTACGCCAGCGTAAATTTTAGCCTATATCGTACGCTGAGAACGATAGTGACACAATGCAAAAAATGCGATTTTGAGTAATGAGCGTTTAAAGTTCAAGAAATTGTAATCAGCCCCTCTAAACAATGTATCGTCACTACGCCACCTAGCAGTTTCTATGCAAGCTACGTTCACAAGGATCTTTGCATTTGAAAATTTATACTTAACAAAAAAAAATGTTGCCAAAAGTAAAAAATACGTCGTTTTTGGTTAGTGACATTGTCATTCTCAACGTGCGATATAGTAAGTTGCTGTTCCGATTTGTCGAGTGACATCACGTATTGGTACATTTTCTACAAAATTGTGACGTAGCGAGCCCCACTACTCAACCTGTTATCTAAACTACCTCTTGTTAAATTGAAGTAAAAAAATACGTATTGTGAGCGGGGTTATGTTTGGTGGTGAGAAACAAAACGATTTATGGAGTTGTTTTGTTTATATATATATTTATACGATTAGAATTTGGATACAAATCGACGTACGGATGGCGTAATAGCTAGAACCTTCAGTTTAGGATCTCCGTAGAAAGTCCTAAACTTGCAGGTCTTCTACAACGCATTTGGTTTACAGTATCAACTGAACTGTCTCAGCGTGGGTGAAAGCAGTTAGTTTGCACCTTAAACTGGCCCTACTAAGTTAAGATTTACTTGAAGAGATATTTTCAATTATGTAGTTCCTTTTTAGTTTTCGTTCTATATCTAATAGTAGAATTCAAAACCGCGATGTTAATTTGTCTGCATGTCAAAAGCACATTATAAATTAGTAAATATACTACACATTCTTGGTCATTTTCACAGAAGTGTATGAACGTGTTGGGTATTGTCTGTCGTCTTTAAATAAATACGATAAGGAGAAAAGGATAACTACATAATAATGCAAATATTAATTTATCATTTCAGGTAAGCCGCTCTTACAACTGGGCAGGAACGAACAGTATTCTCTCCGAAGTCGGCACTCTGCACCTCGAGTTTACATACCTCAGTGACGTCACGGGAAAAGATGGTAAGCTTACTCAATACACTACCGTCAGCTGCACATTTGTTTAGTACAAAATATCATCACGTATCTTTACCTTAACATCCAAATATTAAGATATAAAATCAATTGGAAACAATTTCACTTTTAGGAAAGCTTATGTGCTGTTTTGATTATCTATAAATTATTTCGGGCAATACAAGCACAGGAAATCAATTTCTAATTAGAAATTGTTAAAGCACAATATTGTGTAGAGATTATATAATTGGTGCTGTCATTATTTATTTCCTTTATTTTCCTCTATTTCCGGCTCATTTAACCTTTTAAGTATTTTTATTATGGACCCTGGACGGAAATATTTTAGACATACGTAAAATTAAATCCAGCTTCGTTTTCGTATAGGCTGCGAATATTATTTCTATATAATGTAGTTTATTGTATGCGTTGTTGACTCACATCGTTTTTTTAACCAGAAATAGTTGACACAGAAACCAGTAACAATGAAGACTTAAAGATATTATAAAAAGTACATAATAATATAATTTTTATTGTCTATTTTTATTATTTCAGTTTACAGACAGAAGGTAGAGCGCATCCGTGAAGTGTTACACAATATAGAGAAGCCAAACGACCTCTATCCTAACTTCATCAACCCTCGAACCGGCCAATGGGGACAGAGTAAGTTCACAATACTTTATTTTGCACTCTACACTACACCACATTAAGTATTTAAAGATGAAACGGGACGGTTTCATTAGTTTAATGTGTCAACAGATAATTAAATATTTGTAAGGGTGCTAAAGTAACAGATTTGAATGTTTTTTTTTTTTCGTTGTAACTTCGTCTTTGCTTTTAATGTGGTGTATTGATATGGGGAGACAGTAAATGTCACTTATATAGTACAATGCATTAGGTGTTTGTCTCACTCACTCGGCGTATGTTAGACATCTGAATAATGTGGATGTGAATCGCCTGATTAGAATGATACTTCATCATCAGCCCTTTTACGTCCCCACTGCAGGGGCTCAGGCCTTAACCATCCATAAGGAAATGGATGGTTAAGGAGGATGGGCCATGACCTTCCACGCTGGCCCAATGCGGATTGGAGGGTATTAACGACTGCAAATGCAGTCGGGATCAACGGCTTCATGTGCCTTCCGAAGCACGACATATATTTTTTGGTCACTCATCCCGTGACCGACCCTTGCGAAAGTTGCTTAACGACTACGATCACGGGCCGCGGCGCTATTCCACTACGCCACCGAGCTTCTAGATCTATTATCACAAAAAAATACTTCCTATTTACGTTTTTTCACAGAATATCTGTTTATGTTTCCCCAGGGCATATATCGCTAGGTGCTCTCGGTGACTCCTTCTACGAGTATCTGCTGAAGGCGTGGCTGATGTCCGGCCAGAAGGACGATCAGGCGCGCATGATGTTCGATACCGCGATGCAGGCGGCGCTTGACAAGATGCTGCAAGTCTCGCCCAACGGACTATCGTACCTAGCAGACATGAAGTACGGACGCGTCCTAGAGAACAAGATGGACCATCTCTCATGCTTCGCCGGTGGGTACTCGTCTTATAAAATTGTATTATTACCTTTATTAACTTTGTATTTCTAGGTTAGGCGAAAAAACGGACAATGACCTAATGTGAGCGTTGAAAGTGAACGATACGTATGGTTATCCATAGAAATCTGTATTGTTTCCTTTGAGTACTGACAATAGTGGTACAGGATCGGCGACCTATGGCATTCCGTATAAAAAGCTCAGTACTTCGCAACTATAGTAAATTAAGTTAAAGTTAAGTGGATAGCGATACGTATCGATAACATTATAATTTGGGTTATTTTCCGTTTCTTACCTATCATTGCAACAAAGTATGGAAAGAAAAATTATCAATTTTGCCAAGTCTTGTTGTCATTTATACATTTAGGTATATAAATAAAAATTTCACAATCATCGTCTAGCTTTAAATCAATTCAAAACGTCTAAACATTCTTTAATATAATTGTAACCCATTAAAAGGTTTTATTATCGAATGATATTAGATAATATATGATATTATTCCAGGCGGTATGTTCGCGTTGGCTTCCACAACTCTACAGAACACGTTGTCGGACCGGTACATGGACGTGGCTAAACAATTGACCCACACCTGCCACGAGAGCTACGACCGCGCCGATACCAAGCTCGGCCCAGAGGCGTTCCGGTAAATAATGCACATTATAACTATTCGCATTGCGGAAGAGTTAACTACTAGAAACTTTTAACATGGAAGTAGGAAATATGTTGGATATAATAACTTATATGGTTTTAAAAACTATGTGGTTATTTTTGCTTTCAAATATATTGTATGTATATTTTACTATTGCAAAATTAACTGTTGATTACAAGAACCGATACGCGGGTCATAATGGAGCATCGCGTGACGTCATATTTCAATAAACTTAAGTCCGTGATTTTATTTGCTTATTAACAACATTGCCTTAGATTAAAAAAATACCAAGGAGTTTAAATTTATATTAAAACCAAAAAGTAAACTATAGGTATCGCTATAGATACATCATACACCTATGTATCGTTTTTTGCAAAATACTACGTAAAAGTAATGCATACAAGCTTGGTTTCTACCTTTTTGATATATATTAACGACAATGTGAAATTGAAATAAACTATTTTATTTATATAGTTAAACACAAAAAGCTTCGTTGTGTATTACTTTGACTAAAACAATGAAAAGTTCAGCAATATTTGAGTTAATCAAATTCAGACTGACTATGTTTTTACTATGTTTGATGGCTTTTGCTATTATAAATAAATAATACACAAATCTTTGTTTAGATTTACCGGTGCAGTGGAAGCGCGAGCACTAAAGGACACAGAAAAGATGTATTTATTAAGGCCAGAGACTTTCGAGAGTTACTTCATCATGTGGCGTCTCACCAAAGACCAGAAATATCGCGACTGGGGCTGGGAAGCCGTACAGGTATGATATACTTTCATATATTTGAAAAAAAAAACGGAAATATTTTTAAAATATCTTATATTTACTTGGTTATTTTTTTTGTGATTTCTTCTAATGCGAAATCTCCTGCCATATAATTACAGTTCCAATAAAACGATTATTATGTAACGCATTGTGTAAAATAGATTAAGCGTTTTGAAGCGTGCGCTTCGCTAATGACTGATTTAATTACACATAATACGCGTGTAGACAGTAAAGCAAAATAAATACATATTATTTTTCTGGTTATAATATTTATAATATTGCTTAAATTAATTATGAAAAATGAAATATATGAACGCAAACAGTGCGAGATATCACGCCCCTCTTACTCATACTAGAATTTAGAGAATTAAACCTTATGCATTCATAGAACTATATTAGTTTAAGAGAGGCGTGACGTCATAATACGCCATGACGTTTTTAGCGTTTTCGCGGGTAATTATGATAATTAAATTTATTTTTAGGTTACCTATTATGTGAATGATACTTTTTATATACATTTTAGATATTTATAAAATAAAATTTTAAAAATAAGTTGCCTACACCCCTATTAAGTAGATTTTAGCTTAAAAGTGATTATGTACGTGTAAAACATAAAGATCTAAAGAAGTAATAAGTAAAAATGTAGGTAACTACTTATGAGCTTAATTGAATTTAAAATTAGATTCTACTCACTACTTGTCTACTTAACTACGTGCAAACCAGCCAAATCGTGTTTTGAAAAACTTTTAGTCCGATACCACCGTACACATAGAAACGCGCAATTCTAACCGAGTGCTGCGTTGTAACTAATAGCCATTGCATAAACGTCCATTAAAATTGACATTAGCTTAAAGCGATATTACCAATACAAATTTAACATACGATAAGGCTAAAAGTCGTCATTAAACCTTGATTGTCGTCTGTGCAACCGGCCGTGTTACTGTTAGAGTGCTCGTCAGTCGCGCACTCTCGGTTGTCACCATATGTCATATAAATGTACATTTGATCGCGCGCTTTCTTGTTGATTTCAAACACGTTTATAAAAATAAGGGTCGAATATTTGGTACAGCGTTGTTTATGGATGATATTCAAAAGCGACCAACTATTTTATATATAGAGAGTCCTAATTATAGAAATAAGTTATCGAAAAGCTTTTTATATTCATGTTATTTTAATTTTGGAAACAATGTGACAAAAATCAATTGGCATCCTTAGTATAAATATTAACTTTCGTGTCGTCGTATTATGTCACGAAGGTATAGTAGCTACGCACAAGTTCTTCTACATTTATTTCCTAACTTAACATGCAATATATTATATGATTAAGGTTGTCTGGAAGCGATAGCGATAAGACCACCTTTGCTCACTTTAACTATAAAATATTCTATGAACTGTTTATTTTTATTAGTGCAACAAAGAGTATCTATCTATATACTCGCCCTACTAACGCTCATCGAACGCCGTATTGAACGCGGTCCAAGGCAACCCCGAGCATTCAAATGTGTACTAGCTCATAACAGGCAAGTAAGTTGCACCAAAATGACGATTTTCCGTGCAAGTTCTGATCTCCGGTTTGCTACGTAGCTATAGTTACCCGCTGCGTCTCAACCCCTCGTTTCACCTCGTTTGATACTCGGAAATTTACTTACTGCGCAATCGTCAGCCATTTTGGTTCAGCTTACGTGCAGCGAATTATACCTAACTCGAATATGTGAAAGAGTATTTTCTTCCATGATCTTTTGGTCATAGAACGCACGTCATTGCCATCTTGTGGCGGTCGATAACACGTTGTATGTCTATAATATGATACTAGATAGGATGTAAGTAAGATATATAAACCCACTTTTTTTTTACTAGGACAAAATGTATAATGATACGTGTTTTTGTTTTCCAGGCATTAGAGAAGCACTGTCGTGTAGAAGGAGGTTATACGGGGCTGGTAAACGTGTACCGTGAAAACCCACACGGCGATGATGTACAACAAAGTTTCTTCCTAGCAGAGACGCTTAAGGTATTTTATTATTATATTTTATATATACAAGGTTTTAGCTATTTGGTTTGGTATCTGAGTAATCAGAAAAGATTTCAGTTATAGAATCCATTGAGTTAAGAGTTGGCATTCACTTGAGTTTTTTTTTTTTAATAAAGATATTTTGCTTCATCGTCCATTATAATACAATTATTGATTGAAATTGATTGAGTTTACTTAATAAATATGTTTTTCGTTACATTACAAACTCATTTTTGAGTTAGTTTCAGTTTATCAAGACAAGTACTTATCTCATTATGCATTCGTTAATAACCGTTTTTACTACACTTATTAAACTATCTTAAAAGGCGAAAGTTCTTAAGGTTAACTTAACACTCATCTACCATAATGTTCTATTGTTAACCATACAAATATGGATTAAAAATGTTTTCTTCATTAGTAAGTTCTATTGGCGATACCAAACTACATGATGCAATTTGTACACCTTTATGATGTAAGCGATTACATATATTGTTAAGTTTTCTTCATAAAAATTTTCTCTCTATGATACCAAACCATCGGATGAAATTCGACCACTAATAATATTTTTATTTATACGTAATATGATGTAGATTAATATTATTACTACGATTTGTCATTTGTCCACGCAGTACCTGTACCTGTTGTTCGCTGACGACAGTATACTCTCTTTGGACGAGTGGGTGCTCAACACGGAGGCGCATCCGCTACCCGTGAAGGGGCGCAACCCGCTGTACCGCGCGCACGTGCCCGCGCCCGCGCCCGCGCCCGCGCACGCACTATAGACACGCCCACCGCACAACCATACGGGTTCACTTATAATAGGGATCATGACTGGGTTAAAAAAAGCTAAATTGTATTTAGTCCTTCAATCGGACAATAGAAAAATATTAGAAACGTATTTTATTCCTTCAATTTAACAAGAAATAGCTTAAATAACAGAAATCGAAGTTTAGGAGTGGGGGTTCGCTAACAGTTTTGTAAAAAATGTACAAGTGTGACGTCATACGACATTTCAACTCAATGTATCGCCGTAACTTATTGATTAAGTCACTCAATGAGTGGGACGGGTGAAGAAATATTTATTATATAAATATATATATATTATTTGTCATGTAGTTTCTATCTATTTTTTTTATTTTTCTTTTATTTTGTGTTTCTTCTGAGTGTCCCGCTTGTGAGACCAATAAAATTGCTTTCTTTCTTTCTTTCTATTAAGTAAAATATAAAAAATACGTGTTTAATATTCTTCAGTAATCAGTTAGATTACGGACTGACAAACAAAAATTAGCCATCATCCCTATTATTTTAACTAAATGTGACAAAAAAAATCACTCCCGAATATTAGTGGATGCTAACCTGAGTTGTGTTATTTATTTATTTTTTTCCATTAAATAAATAAATTACTTGTAGTAAATAAATGATAGCAACTCAGCTTAGTTCCTAGTGAAACTAGTTTGTCAAAAAATCGAAAATTATTTTTATATCCTATCCTGGAATGGGATATCCGTCTTCAAGACTTCTAGAATATAGCTGGAGAACGTTAATGTAGACGCTTTTTCTTTTTTTTATAAATTATTACAAACAAGATAAAAATTGTTTCATCGCTCATAGATGTGACGTGTCTGTATTAAAATTGTCTTAATGACTATGGTTAATATCAACTTCGTTTTAATACAGGCGTCAATGAGTTGAATGAAAATTGTAGAGTAATTCGTCCAAAACTAGTTACAATACGGTAATAGTTTGTTGAGTCTGAAATGACAATGAGAAAAAAATCTAAATTTGGGACGAAACGCTTAAAATAAAAGCGTGCATCTAAACATTAATGTTAACAAAAAGTTTGCACTAGCAAAAACATTCCTAAACAAAGGAGTGAATTTATCATTAAGAAAAATTTAAAACTAAGGCTCTGGTCTTTACTATCACTGAAATCGGATTTTTATAGAAAAAAAACAGGGTTTATCGGTTGCCAGACCAGAGATAACCAGAGATGATAAAACTTATCAACAAACAGAATTGTCGAAAAGTTTTAACGTGATCAAAAAAGAACTATTCGGCTTCATATAATGACGTTTTACGTGAGTTCTAACTCTCAATAATAGGTAGATCTATTATTGAGATAACGACTTAGAATAGTTTATAAATTATCTTGTTGCTAAAAACGGAAATCATGCTACTTAATTTATATTATTGTGTGGTACAAAACAATGAACGATATGTGAAGTTATTGCCAGTTATATTAAATTATTTGAAAGGCGAATTTACTATATATTTCTTATAGTTTTTACTGGAGTAGATTAATAAATATGTATATATTCCTTCTCATTATAAAAAGAAGATTCTTACTTATATTACATTTTTGTATAATAATAGTCAATCGTGTAAATTATGTTTGTTCCAACTATCACATAAACTCTAAATGTCCAATCAATACTTCTATCACGCTACAAACTTATATATATACATACATACCTTGTAAATGTTTAGTGAAATTGTCCTAATACTTCTTACCCTTTTCATGGCATTTATCTAATAACAAAAAATATATATATTATAATTAACATATAAGAAAAACTTTTAAAATCTATCTTAATCTTCTACTAATAAAAAGTATGCTTGGAGTTTTTTCTGTTGTAAATTTCTTTTAAATGTCATTAGTTTCAATGAAAGTTAATATTTCTACCAGAAAGATTTTTGTTCTTGTGTCGTAACGTAGATTTACAACAAATATTAATCTTTTTTCTGTTGCTAATTCTTAACAATATATATGTATATATCTATCTATAATATAAAGTTAGTGTAATTTTATTTTTCTAACTTTCAATTAATAATAGAGTTTTATAATACACAGCTGTAAATATTGTTGCTCAAGTCAATTAGAGACATTGAAAACTGTTGACAAACATTTAAAATAGTAAAATTTTCTACATTTTTATTTAATTTTATATAGAGAAAAAAAAAGTTAAAATTATTTAAATCTTAGCGAAGGGTTATATGTATTTTTAGAGTTATAGAAACAAAGGCTCAGCACGCGTACAATGACAAACCCGAGAACGTTTTGTCTACACCCAAATGATATTTATCTAGGGTGCGTCGAAATGATATCCCACTCTCGACCAGAGAAGTGACTTTCGGTGTAGACAAAGCGTTTCCCGAGTGTATCATGCTACGCGCGCTATAAATATGACCAATGTAGACTACCGCCATTATGACGTATTGCACAAATGTTACGTTGATTTTTCGATTCAGCTGTAAAATAATTATAGTCCTTTTAGTGCTGCCAGAGTAAAACTACAACATGAGATATTAAACTAACGCGGTAATGGCGTGTTATTAGTATATATTATAGTATGAAGTATATGTAATGGATTGCATTATATTGCACATATTTTATTCTCGCTGATCTATTTATTTTTCGAATCACGAGGAAACCATAAAAGTACGGTTTTTTTATTAACCCTTTTCTACTATGAAAGAGGAAATAAGGTAATTTTTTTTATGGAAAGTAATATATTGTATGATTTAATGTCAGATCTCGTTTTTAGTAAATTTGAAGTCCTCACTGTTTGAAATTGTAACATAATAATTTGTTTGTAGCAAACATATCTTAAAGTTGTAGTACGTGTAAAAGAGTTTAGTGTAGTTAGCTATGGTTGCGTATATATCGGAGTGGAGGCGAATATTGCAGGTCTAATAATAAGAACGGTGGTTTGTTCGTTGAATACAATTTGTTGGTTGTTTGTTGAAAAACTGACAGAAATATGAAAAGTATGTTGACCAAATCAAAGTAACAATAAAACACTTATTGACTAGCCTTATCGCCGTGGTAATATGACCGGTTTTGTGTTTGTCGTTTCATTTGTACATTTCCTATTTCTGTTCAGTGTTGAAGCCATTACGCTTTAAGTATGTATGTGATTCAATACAAAGTTACATAATATGTTTATTTTGTTTAATTTAATTAATGCACCTGTTAACAAAGCATTTATAAAATAAATATAATTTTACATTTATCGATGTTTTTGTGTATAATTTATTCTATCGCTCTATAATATAACAGTGATTCGTTCGCAACTAAAGTGAAACTCACAGAGTTTAGAGTGTAGTTAGAGAGCTGTAAATTTGTAGATATATACATATATATAATAGAGTAATAGTTGTAGTTTCATACGTTTTAGTTAATAGATAACTTTGTGTATAGGGGTATTATTAATTTTTAAAGTTAAGTGACGCGAGAATGGTTATATTGAATGAATGTATTTGTTTATTATGTATTAAGATAAATACTGCCATGTTAGAACATCTGTTCGATGTCTTTTTTTTGTAAATTAATGTATTCCGTTCCGTTCCTAGAAATGAAACTCCTTAATGAAAATATCAACTATCTGAGTAGAAATTTGGTAAATGCAATACGCATCGAACCGGATAGGGGTTAATTCCTCGACACACGAGACATTAGATTCATTTCAATGCAACTTGATTCATTTAATCGGTATAATTGGTTGCATTTTAAAATATTCATATACAAGGGGCCCGGCAAAGAGTGCCAAATGAATGAATATCTATATTTTTATATTCGTCTCACAAATTTATTTGCACATGTAAATGATTTTATTTTTACTCCATAAATGAAGACTTAATTTTGCAATAAAGCGCAGAATACTTCATTAGAGTATTTGTGAAAGTAAATGATTTTATTGATAACTATATTTGATGAAATTATTTTGTGTTTTATTTATTTCAAGATTTGTATATAAGTTTAATATAAATGATTTTTTCTAGAACAATGCTGCGTCTCCTTTATCAAAAATAGTGGGTAGTTGTGTTACAATCATGGGCAAGAATTCATACTAGTATGTTGATTATTTTTTCGTTTAAAAAGCACGCAAAGACTACTCCACGACGAAACGAAAAGAATAGAATTTAAACGACGAGTTGAGTGCGTCAGATTTTTAAATGCATAATATAGTAATAATGTTTAAATTTATGTGTCTATGTTACTCGATGAATAATGTACGCGAGATTGATGACCATTTCGGATAAGCAACTAATGTGTTAAAAATATAATACGTTTAAATGTTTTGATTTAACCCGAAGGGACTGTGGATTTGTTTTTTTTTATACTTATTTAATAGAATTGAAACTAATGCGAGACTCATTGCGAGTCGATATAATCTCGAGGTGTAACTGGCTGCACTACCTGTTACATCATTTGTAATTTATATGTATGAAGTTGTAGTATTTAAAATTAATAATGTACATTTTTCGTTTATTAATAAAAACATGTTTACAAAATTTTGTATCTTTTTTTTCTTAACCTATTACCCACCCTCCGTACTTACGCTAGTACAGCTTTATAATACACGATTCGATAACCAGAAACTGTTGTTTGTGTTGTATATAAATATATTTAAGTTATAATAACCAAATGATAGTCTGTAAAAATGTAAAAGATGCCTACAGCTTAAAAACACTTCCTATCAAAAACGTCATCATCTTTCTTAGTAGAGCATGTATTTTTTATAACAATTTTTTAAATAAGACATTATGATAAGATGATTTTTCAATTTCACTTATGTTTTTAAAAGAAAAGAAAAAAATTGTAATTATTAATCAGGTACAGTCATTTGAATCATATAAAATTTAAATATTTCTTTCTACAAATATAATTTGATTGAAAATTAGTGATTCTGATGGTCACATGAATCAGTCGTCATTCTGTTAAAAATATTATTCTGTTACATAAACCAGACTATCGGTGAGTTGCACAAACGTCCATTAAGGTTTAATGACGCCTTTAAGCTCTAATGTTTGTCAAATTTGTATGGGTAATGTCGCCTTAAACTAATGATAATTTTAATGGACGTTTGTGCAACTGGCTGTATATTTAGGTTAAGTCAATTTTAATCATGTTAAGTATCATACTTAGTTGTTTAGTGAATTGAAAACGCAGTTTTACGAGATTAAAACTAAACGTCTAGTTTTGTATGTTAAAAAAACAACGTCTAAGTCGGACACTTTCATTTCTGATCTTTATGCAATAAAATCTTTATTACCCTTTGAAGTAGGTTATTTGATTAAACTTCTATACTATGACAGCGGCGCGCATGTCAACGAGTTTGGGGCTGTTTATACCAGAATAACTTCGTAGCGGTCCACAGGTTCCGAATACATATATAAATAAAAGTTATATCTTAGTTCCATACCAACATGTCGTAAAAGGGTGGTTGTTACAGGGAGAGGCAGCTAAAGGTAACGAAGGCCATAACGCCATGAAATGTCGCGGCATGATTGTCCGTGACGTGAACGTCGGTGGGCCATCCAATTAGCGGAACGATAGCTTCGAAAACTGTCCGCTATAGTACCTATATACTACAACGTAGGCTTACCATATTCATAATACCTTAAACCGGGATAGAAACTCTTAACTAAACTAAATATAAGTATTACTAAATCAAAGTAAAATAGATAATTCATAATTTCCTTTTTTTGAGGATAATATAATATCTCCCTCCCTTAAAACAATGGGTACTAGGAATCCTATTAATATTATAAATGCGCAAGTTTGTTTGAATAAATGTCTGTTACTCTTTCACGTAAAAACTATACTGAACGGAGTTTGATGATTTTGGTATATAGATATTTCTAAGCCTTAATTACCCCACTAAGCGGATCACGCGGGCGAGTTCGATGGCGGAAAATATTGTCAAAAAGATGCAAGCACACGGTCGATTACTACTAAATATAAAATCTATGATTGAGCCTGCTAGGATCACAGGAGGTGAATATATTGTGAAAACGATTCTTTTTTTATATAACTACACGTAATTTATCAAATATACTAATTTCCAAAATATAAATAAAACTGCAAGCAGTGTAAAAACAAGTGGTAGAATATAATAAAGTGTACCGAAATAAAGTCATTAACATACATTAGAAACAGTAATGATGAGGGTACACTGCCCTGAGGGACTCCAAAACATATGTATCTAAGTTAATTTCCTTTTGGGTTATGTAGAGAAATTTCAACACATTGAATTCTGTATGCATCACTCAGTATCCAGTGAAGGTCAGGTGATGGCGCGCATTGAAGTATATAGAATGGAACCATGCATTGCAAGAGCTTGGTTAAAGTTAAAAATTAGCGGAAGTTTTTTCTAAGGGTTACTTCTAGAAAAGAATCTGTTGTGAAAATTAAAGCGGCATTACAAAAAACTACCAACAGATATCATTCACACTACTGTATACAGAATTTTGACTGTACATTAGAGTCTGGTCGCGCAAACCTTTCGGGCTGTTCCAGTCAAGAGCAATCTGCCGCCCTAACCCGTTCACTCGGAAGGATCCATTTAAGTTGCCTTTGGACAATCTCGGGCAAACCCTTTTAATGAAATAATAATAATTCATGTCTATGTTCATGAGTATTTTACCTAGGTCACAGAATCATAATTAAAAAAAAAACTCCCCTAGATCCAGAAATGCTATTTTAATCCCGATTTGGTACACCATAATGACGGTATTCTTCAATAATTCTTTAAACAAAAACTAATTATTCTAATTATTATTGTTGCTAAGAAGAAAACTTAAGCGTGGCAAAAACAAATATTGTTTCAATTAACGAAGCAAGACAGTTTTCTTTATGGGGTTGGGACGCGCCCTGTCCCCATTCGAAGCGCACCACAAAAGGGTGGTGGGGTTGTGTTAGGGGCAGGGAAGCCTTCAGCCTGAATACCTTTCCCGACTAAGAGAGTGTCGAACGCTCCACTACAAAACACTACAACTCTGTTCTAAAGTATTTATCTTATTGATATGAATTTCTAAGATAAAAACATTAACCAAGTGCTCATTACATCTTCCGAACGTCGATATGATTATTAATTTTATTTGGCTACTATATTTTAAAATACACAATAAAAAATATTATTAATAAAATATCTAATAAGTAACTTGTATTTCGTTCAACTGTGACAGCTTTTATTATAATAAGAATAAGGTGTGAGGTGTTATGACAAAAATCCGTGAACAGAGATCAAGTATGGTGAAACTGATTCTCAGCATAATCTTAGCAGTTTTACTAACAGGTGAGTGTTTATTTTTTATATAAATTATGACTAGTTTACCCGCGACTTCACCTGCGAATATTTTAGCCTGTATCACCCGAGCTTGATGTAGCTTTGCGTATGTATGTAAATATATTTAAAAAAAAACGAGTTTCGGTGTCTATATTGAATAGACACCGAAACTACTCAGTTTTTTTTAATACAAACAATGAAATCTTTCCTCTTTATAAGTACAATATTCATTAAAATAGAATTCCCCCACAAACTTTGTCTGAATGATTAATGTCATTATTATTCTTCAAAAATAGTTAAATCTAATTGATTTTTTTTAACCAGCGTCATCTGAATCTGGTACGATATCAGATTTTATTTAGATTATAAATTAAAAAATATCAGTCAGTTAATTTTTAAAGAACGGCATTTTCGGGTGTATCGAATCAGGGGTTTGGTTTCCGCGTAATAACCCAATAATATAATCTTTTAGTAACTGAATAAAAGATAAGGCGGGAGCAAAAGTTGGCGGGATGGGATCGTTACTACGAACTTGCGGTAATATGTTTAAATCTGGCAATATTTTAGAAAAGATATTGATAATAGTAAACATTTAAGCAGACTTTTCATTTATTTATTTTTTCGATTGCCAGTTATAGAACGTTGATTGTTACTAATTTAATTATAATTCGTATCTTCACGTCCAATCATCGCAATGATTGTTTTCTTTTATTTATATCTTTTTACTTTCTATCGCTTTTCATGGAGGCATACATATTCCACTAGCAAGCGCCGATTACTAGCTCCAAAAGTATAAAATTATATAATTTTTATGATAATTCAACATTCTTACTTCACTATATTCTATCAATATTATACATTTAATTCTTAAACTTTTGATAGGTATATACTTTTGATAGGTACATAGGTAATCATTACCAAGGTTAAACATATTTAATCACGTAGCTTCGTGGAAGAGTTTAAATGACAAAAATATTTGGAAGTGACCTATCTGAGCCATACGACCTCTTATCTGACAGATGATAAAGTAGAAGTTTGTGGTTAAAAGGAATATCCAAAATTTATTTTTATTTCTATCATCGAAAAGAAAAATAATATGGAAGAAGTTTGTGGTTAAAAGATATATCCAAAATAAATATTGGGGGTTAAAGTATGAAATTGTCGTTTTTTTATAATAGGTTCTTTGAATTAACATAGAATCTTCATGGTTTGAGGTTTTCTAAAGAAACTTTTTTCACATGGCTTCTATGATATTCTTATTTTAAAAATTGTGAATCATTTGAATATCGATTTTAATTGTTTTTGTTCAATGAGATTAATAACTAGAGAAGCAATTCCATACAACAGACGCGCCAAAAAGTGTAGCACTTTTCCGAAATCAAGACGTAGCTTTCCAAATAATATTTATACTATATAATATAAATAGGTTTATAATATTTGTCTCTCTCATATCTACGATTAAACCTTAAATTAAACAAAGACAGAATATGTGCGAACGACAGAATTAACGGAAGAATGGGTAATTGATATTGTATTGCCGGCTCTCGAAAATTCACCCATTATTATGAATGAATGAATGAACAAGTAATGTAGATATATGTACAAAATCAATTAGAAAAATACTGTAACTTTGAAAATTTATTTAAAATAACTTTGAAAAGAAAATAGTCACGAAAGTAGGCTCTGTGCATATAAATCCCTTTGTTTTACGATAAAGTTAGTTTTTAAGAGAAAAACATTTGTTAAAGGTTACAAAAGATCAAAGGTTCAATTTTACATATTTTCAAAAGTTGTATCTCGACAACTAAGAAATTCCATGCCTTGAAAAAATAAATTAACTTTAAAAATTAAACCACTTTAGCATCTGTGTACGTGTATGAAAAAAAATATCAACACAATTTGCACAGTTGCCTATACTAAATCTGAGCCATATAATTAATTAAAAGAAGATATTTAAATAAATTATAGCCACGTACAATAAAATGAAAAGGCTCTCATATAGTAGGGAAAATTGAAAGTGAATAGCAATGGCAACACTGACGATAAAATGTCAACATTTTATTTGTGTAAATTAAATATTTTTATTTTATAAACTAGCTTTCATTTTGTTTTTATTGCGAAAAATGTTAATGACTTAAGTGTGAAACTTAATATTCTTTCGTATTATGTGTATTTGTGAAAGAGAATCATATTTTATCCACTGTTTTTCTTCGTTTTTGCGGAGCATTTTTTTTGTATTTTCTCGGCGGGAGTTGAATGAGTATTGAAGTGAAAAACGAAAAAACTAAGACAAACGTCTTAGTTTTAGTAGCTTCACATTTTGGGTATGTATTGCGTATCAAGACATATTAATATCATTGTTTTTGTTATTCAACTATGACAAGAAAGATGGATACTGCGAAAATTCGAGTGATTTTTGAATACGAGTTCCGCCGCACAAGTAACGCGGCAGAAACAGCCCGCAATATCAATGTTGCGTTTGGAGATGGGTCTGCTAATAAACGCACCGTGCGATTTTGGTTTAAACGCTTTCCTGATGGAAACTTCGCCTTGAAGAACGAGCCACAAGGAAGTCAGGTGAATTCACACACAGGTGAATAACGATGAATTAAGAGAGATGGTGAAAGCCATTGCTCTTTATTTGCGTCAAATCAATAAAATTATAAATACCAAAAAGGGGTGCCTCATGATTTGACTGATCTGCAGAAAGAAACGCGTGTTGAAACTTGTGTTGCCTTGTTCAATCGGAACAGAAATGAAGGAATATTGGATCGAATTGTGACATGTGATGAAAAGGGGATTCTTTATGAGAACCATTAAAGAAAATTGCAATGGCTGACCCCAGGTCAAACGCCACAACAGTGTCCTAAAGCAAAACTTACCAATAAAAAGGTAATGGTAATTATTTGGTGGTCTCAGCATGGTTTTATTCACTCTGGTTTTCTCTGATCTGGTCAAGCAATAACGGCAGATGTCTATTGTGCCGAATTCCAAACAATGTTGGCAAAACTAGCAGTAAAACAACCCCGAATCATGAATTAATCTTCAACATTATTGCTCTATGACAATGCGAGACCTCATACAACACGAGAAACCATTTAGACTCTTCAGGAACTGCAGTTAGAAACTATTCGTCATCCTCCGTATTCGCCAGACCTTGCTCCAACGGATTACTATTACCACTTTCACACGGTTTGTGCAGTCTAGATCCTCAGAGTTCTATCGCAAAGGTATAAATAACCTTCATATTAGATAGCAGCAATGTATAGATAATAATGGTAACTATTTTGATTAAATAAATTTGTTAAAAATTTAAAAATAAACAAATTTGATTTTCAGTACAAATCGCCAATTTCATACTTTAACCCTTATTTTTAGATAACATCACATATGTGGACCTCAATGGCGCAGTGGTTAACGTAATCGGTCTGCGGTACGGTTGTTAAGCAAGTTTCGAAATGGCCGATCATAGGATGGGTGACCAAAAATTATATTATCTAAAGCTCCTCCGTGCTAAGAAAGCCACGTGAGCCCGAGAAAATATGGAAATATTGATTCGAACGCGAATCGAACGCATTCTTTCATGAGGTGTACTGGAGAAGGAATCTAGTCATTGATTACGGAGGAAGTTCATTGCCAATTGCAGATGTGTACAACAACATCCTCTCGCTTTCTTCACTTTAAAAAACTGTATAAGTAGTTACTTCATATTATGTAGTTTTGCGTGCTCGGTGGCGTAGTGGATAAGCGCGCCCCGTAGTTTAATTATTGTATTAGTCAACTTTCCATCTTGCCATATACCACCCACTTGGGTTATAAGTTGTGCTATTACGAACTGTTTTAGTATAATAATGTTGCCAATGTAAAAAAAAAGTAAAATAATTGGTAGTAAATGTTATACATTCAAAAACATGTCATGTTTTTTGTACAAAGAGATAATCCATATTGTTTTTCATATTCTTTAATTTTTCTTAATACAGATTTTTTAAAATTTATTATTATTTATTATTATGTCTTAACAGAATATAAATATTATACATAATAAAAAGCGGGTTTAATTACTTTTTAAATAAATACGTTGTAAAAGTGTTTATTTGATTTTAAATACGCAGTACCCATTTCTTTTTTATTAATTAAAAACTTCCACAGAAAGTGCTCATTCCGCGAAGTGCTCATTCTGCGAAGTGCTCATTTTGTGAAATGCTCATTCTGCGAAATGCTCATTCTGCGAAGTGGCCATTTTGAGAAGTGCACCAAATGCGAAAGGCGCATTTTTTGTCAAGTGCACATTTTGCGAAGTGCACGTTCTGCGTCAGACCCAACCAAATTAAAGAAAAACATTTTTAGTGTAACTACGCCAATTCTTAAAAACGTCGTTCTAAGATAATACCGTTTTTAAGAAACTTATGTTTTTTTATCGCATTTTTGTCCAAATAAATGTGTCCTACGTCGATTTATAAATCTCCCAAAAAAAGTCAGCAACACATCATCAATGCTATTCTGTTAAAAATAGCCACGAACTCGGCATCAAGCGTATCGCTGTAACAGCATAGTTTCAATGAAATAAAACCTTTATTACATTGTGAATTAGATTTCATTTGATTGAACCCCTATGCTAAAACAGCGCTGCGTTCGACGTCGAGCCCGCGGCTGTTTTTAGAACAGAATAGCACTGCAGGTTAAATCAAAAATCTTTTGGGGTTAAATAGGAGTTTCAAAATCAAGTAAACCAGGGCGAATTCTCTGGCGAAAAGCTTGACTAATATATTGAGGAACATAATTCATTGCGAAGGTTAAGTATCTTTTTCGCAAAGGCTAGTCATCGGATGGGTAACCAAGAATTTATTATCTCAGGCCTATCCGTGTTTCGGAAGATACGTTAAGCCACTCTTAGGCTGCATCTGGTCGTTAAAACAGTGGGTACTAATTCCCCACTGGCCTCGTATGGTGGTCCATGGGCTCGGTTAGTCAGCAAAATTTACTGATTTCAAATATGTCTTTATATAAAT